TGTGTTGTCCGACTTACTTACTTGCCTTTGTCTGGCCGGTCGATTAGGTACGCCATTTCCGGGCTGTATATGTGCCGTGCCTCGATTCACTCAGATTGAATTTTACGGTCGCTGAAATGGGATTTTATCGTAAGTCATTGAATTTTATGTAAGGATGCAAATCGCTTGAAACAACCTGAACTGCTCTACTACGATATATTGTTTTAGTGAAGAAGAGAATAGGCCTCGGTACATGATATAGGACGGGTCAGTGAACAAGGCAGAGGTTTAAATACCTGATCTAAAACAGTTAAATTGAGGTTTCACATGCAGTTTAGGCTAAGTCCGGATGACGAAGTGTGCTTCATATGTAAAGTGGACGATGTCAAAATTCGTTTAGAAGGGATTATTTTGCTGCCAAAGTAGCTAAGCGCTAAGGCTTGGTTTAAAATTAGCCTGATTTGGTGGTATCTACTATGTAATAAATTAATGCCTAAATATTCATTATGATTTAGGCATGTAAAGGCACCCGTGCACTTAAGCCTAATAGCATCACATCTTTTCCTGCAATATCAACAGCTGAAGTGCTCATGTTAGCACCAAGTATTAATAGTTGCAGCCGAGACGAAAAATAAGAGGTGGAATAAAAAACAAAGGAATACAAAGGAAGGACGGAAGAAAAAAAGAAAAGGTGAGGTGGAAATGTGAATTTATGAAGGGTAGATAGAAGGGAATGATGTTTACCCTTTGAAAAGACAGTCGAGCGCATTCTTTATCACCCATTTGGCCTCCCTCACAGCGGACCAACAGATTTCCACATCGAAGCAAGCTAAAGACTCAACATGCAGCGAAGGAGTAGGAGGAGGAGCAGGAGGTCACTGCCGGTTGAGGTGAATGAATTTGAGTGATGTCGTTCATAAGAGGGAAATTGATCAAAGTGTCGCCATCGACGAAAGTTGTATTGCTCTATTGGAGGCTGCAGACATACCTATAAACAACCTAGGCTGCCTGTGGGTGCAGTTTAACTTTGACATTCCTGTTTTCAGTAGGAATGTTCAAAAGCAGAGTACTAATCTGAAATTAGCGTTAGACAGCAGGCCAGGCCCAAATTTGATTCAGAAGCCAAAGATATTTCAACTTCTGCAATGTGCGGTGAAATAACTTCTTAAAATTATACCATCTCGTCAGATGGGGTGGCAGTTATCGAGGACCGTAGCAATAAAGTGTGGAATCGGACAGTAACAACCATTCAGATGGAAATGCACAGTTTTCTAAGTTCAGCATGTTACTACAAGCGTTTCGCCTAAGGGTTTGCTAGGTTCGTAGTCTGCTGCATAATAGGATGCAAAAACAGGGGATTAGATTTTCACATTCGAAAAGGGATAAGAAACTATGTTGTAAGAACTGAAGTGACTATCCTGTTTCAAGTTAATTCTAGCATTACCAAACTTCAAACTTATTGTCTCACCAGTCGTAACAGATACTGGCGCAAGCGATGAAGCCGTAGTCAGTGTGTTTTAATAAAGGCCACAAGGAGGCAGAAGAAATAGGACACGTCATTGCTTATGCGCTGTTGTAGCATACATTACAGGAAACTGAGAGGATAGTACAATGCAAAGTGAACTGTTTCTATATTCACAATGGTTAGATAATTCGGACATTAAATGAAGGTAAGGACGATCAGAGGGAGAAGGGATCGTCAGGCGCATGCTGACATGATCAAAACAATAAAGAAAAGGGGGTATTTAGTTGCCCATGGGTAGAAGGAGTGGTAAAAAGCGATTGCACAGTATAGTAAGGAAAGTGAAATGCACGTGGTAATGCAGACATCCAGTCCTCAGACTACTCCCGACGGAAATGGGTGTTGTAGTGAATACGATATTCCTGAGCAGGCTCACTGATCGTCAACGGAGGTATACACAGTGCATAAATTCCCACAGATCTCTGTTACACGAAAGGATGTTTGCCACTTCTTACAAACTTACGGCAGTGGAGATGATCTTATTGACTATGTTGAAAAATGAGGCTATTTTATGCCAAAAAGGCCACAAGTCCGTCAAGACTCTGGCGGTCCAAGATTTACTAACAAATTGGACCACTTAAGGAAATGTACTTATAGTCTAAGTTTGCCCTAGGCCTACCTGGTTTTTCTCAAACCTAAGTTAAAACAGTAGACGTACCTAGTGGTATTCCCACTGCTTGCTCCAATTGATGCGCACAAAGATCTGAGGGGATAGGGTGAATACTGATATCGTGCGTCTTTTACCGAGAAAGAAAATAGGTATACTGGGGCAATGGTAGACTACTGTAGAAAAATATTCAAGGTGAAACCCATGAAGGCAGGAGATGCTGAAATGGATAGCAGGATAGCGAAATACTCCTCCAACAGTCCACTTCCACGTAA